GAGGAGCCCCCCACTAGGTTAAACTCCCCCAGACACTATGCAAACTTGTGAATCCTGCTCCTCAGGTCTGCCCCTGGGTCAGGATGGGGAGCCCCACTCGTTCACGGAACGAATGCGTGGAGGGACCCCTGGAACCACCTGACGACCCCATGGGCTCCGACTCTCCTCTCCACCCCCCTTCCCCGTCCCCACAAGGGGTGACGCCCCACCCTCCGACCCTCCCTTGTCCTCACGAGGGTGATGTCCCCCTACCCGGGCCCTCGCCCGTCCCCACGAGGGGTGACGTCCCCACCAGAATTCTCCCACCTCCCCGCGAGGGGGCGTCCCCAGGCCTGCGCGGATCGTGGGGCGGCGACGAGACCCTGTTCTCAGCTCTCGGTGTGGCTCTCCTCTACATCGCCCCTCGCCCGGGGACAGGTGGAGACGGCTCCACGTGGGCACCTGGCCCTAAAGGAATTTCCTAACCCGCGCAGGGCGGGCCAAGCACCCCTCCCGCGACCCCCGTCTCCCGCCCGGGTCCCGGGTACGCCCCATCCTTCCAGGACCTACCGGCGCGCTCTAGGACCGAGCGGCGCCCGCCCCGCCGCCCTGTGGGCGGGGCCCCGGCATTGTGGCGTCTCCCCGAGGCGGGGCTCCGGCGCGCGGACCGACAGACGGACGCAGGACAGAGCGGGCGCGGGCGCGGGCGCGGCGCGGCGGGTGAGGGCCAGGGCGGCGTGTCGGTGCGCGTACGTGCGCGGGGTGGGGGGTCCTGGGGACAGAGTGCTCCCTACCCTCCAAGGCCCCCCAGGGCCGTGTCCCCCACCCTCCCCCCAGGACCGTGCGCTCCCCACCCCTCCACCCCAGGACCGAGCCGCCCCTCCCCGGACTGTGCCCCCCCCGGGCCGGCGTCCGCCCCCCGCGCCCTCAGCCCTGGGCCGGCGCCCCGCGGCCCCTCTGCGACCCGCGCCTCCGTTCCCCCCGCGCATGCCGGTGCGCGCGCCGAGGGCTCCCTGAGCCGCCCGAGCCCGGGGAGGGCCTCGTGCCCCAGCCGTGGAGCCCGCGCTGCGCCCGGGGCGCGGCCTCGGCCTCTGGGCTGTCCCTGCGGAGCGCGGCCCTCGCTCTGCCGCGAGGCCCGTGTCCCGAGTTCTTACCCGCTCTCCTCCCTCGCCAGGCTCCGATGGTGCAGGATTGAACGGGGTGGCGGCGGCTGTGCGGGGATGACGGTCCCCGCGCGTTCCAGGACCCCGTGAGAGCGGAGGGGCCTCGGGCCAAGCGGACGTCAGCCCGCCGGCAGGCGACGCAGGTGTTCGGGATGGAAGCAGAAGGCTTGGATTGGCTTCTGGTCCCGCTGCACCAGCTGGTGTCCTGGGGGGCCGCTGGGGCCATGGTCTTCGGAGGGGTGGTGCCGTATATCCCGCAGTACAGGGACATCCGGAGGACTCAGAACGCCGAGGGTTTCTCTGCCTACGTGTGTCTGGTGCTCCTGGTGGCCAATATTTTACGGATTCTGTTTTGGTAAGTTGGGAGCTTTCTTACTGTGTGGGTGCTTCTGGAGAGATGGCTTTCTCCTTTTGGGGTTTCTGAGTGGGGCCGGGAGGTGAAAGTGTCTGTACTTCCCGAGAAGTTGGTGAAACAGATGAGATTATTACCCAGGGAAAATGGTAGGATTGGAGTGGAGACTCACATATAATCTAAGGTCGGCGTCTTCATCTCACTTCGCTCACACTTCCCCGGATCGGATGCTTCCCCAGGGCCTTCTCCTGGCGCCGCCCTAGCACTCGGTCCTAGGTCCTAGCACTCACCGGTCACTCGTTCACTGCCCTCGGCGAGTTTGCAAGGGGGAGGGGAGAGCAAACAGACTGACTGAGTGTCAGAGTAACTGAAAGTGATGAGGGTTGGGAAGGACCTACCGGGTGAAGCCCCACGAGAAGGGGCCTCAGCCTGACAGGGAGGCGAGCTCTGGCTGTCCTCCGAAGGGCCTTCCACCTTCTCTGTTGTGTGTGTGGTTTTGTTTCTTTTAAATAGGAAGTCAACTTTCTGGATGATAATTGAGACTATTTTTTCTTGCTCCTTCCAGCCCAGTTTCCTCTTATCTTTATTGGCGTTGTGATAGGAACTCGAAGTTAACGTCAACAGTTGCTAAAGCCAGACTTAATTGGGAGGGTGAGTTTTCAGAGGAAATGAAAAGAGGTCTCATGGCATCCTTCTCAGGCCAAAAGCATTGGAACCTTCCTTGCTTCTGGACAGTTCCAGGCCCCTCTGTCTGCACAGAAAGTGAGGAAGTTGCTCTGGAGGAAGGCCTTGGGGGGGGGGTGGGGAGGGAGCGGGCGCGGGCTCCAGCAGCCGGGTCCAGAGCCCCGCTTCTGTGCTCTTCATCTGACATTTTGGTCACTGTTTCAGTAATCATGCTTTTTGGCAAACTGGTTTTTAAGTCAACCTGACTGAGGTATGAGTTGCTTTAAATAAAGTCGCATGTCTTACGTGTGCCGTTGGATGTCCCCTCTGTCATCACCATCGCTGTCAAGATGTGAGTTTCCTGAGCACAGACTTCTCTGTCCAGCAAGCCCCTCCCTTCACTTCCTGTGCTGAGTCTTACCCCTGTCTGGGGTTTTTAAAAGGTGAGCTGGTGAGTCAGCTGCCCCTCTGGAGAGTGTGTCTGGGCCAGGCTACTTCCGAGGGAGGGGTCAGCGGGTGCTATTTTTGTTTAGCACATGTTGAAAAACTGCACTTTGAAGACTCCTCCCTTCCCTTTGGCTAAGGGCAGAGATCATTTGCAGCAGTGTGATGGGTGGCTTCCCTTTTCTAAAAACGCCTTAATTAAGTTTAAGGTTGAACAGAAGTAGGTCCCAAACTAGAATTGTGTCTGACCTGTAGTTAACCCTGAGCACACTGGGTGTGTGGTGGGCGGGGGGAAGGTGCTCAGGGTGCTCCCAGGCCGGCCCAGGCTCACCCTGTGAGGTTGGGAAGCAGCATTTCCTCCAGGCCGTGGAAAATGTTTTCTCCAAACTGGAGGAGAGCTGCCTGGGGTTGGGTCACCTTATGGGTGAAAAAGTTCCACTTAGAGATTTCCCCCCCAGTATGCTCACCATTCAAAATTGCAAAAAGAACATAGAATGTCTAATCTGCCTCTGAGTGTCTGGTTTGGAGAAGTCAGAAATTACCCCACTTTCTTGAGTGCCGTCCCGTCAGTGCCTTTGGGTGTGACCGGCATTGGATCAGAGGCTCTCTCCTTCCTGCGGGGCCTGAGCCCCGGAGAGAGTCTCAAGCTCTTTCCTGATGCAGCATGGGGCGACCTTTTCTGGGATGCTGAGCTCGGTCCACTGGTGAGCCTGGTTCTGCATAGCCATTGGCCTTTCTGTAGAGTCAGCCTCCTGAGCCGTCCTGGGCCACTTCAGGGCTTCTGCACTGCCTTGTGCAGAACACAGGACTGCCTTCACCCAGCATCCTGGAAACTGCAAATGTGTGGGATGAAGGGAAGGCTGCTTGAGGGCCTCCCTGGCCTGGGGGTGCCCTTTCCTGCATTTCACATGTGGCAGCCCTTGCAGTTCACCTGGTGAGGCCAGCAGGCAGGCTGGGCCTGCCTGACGTGTGACTGATTCGCACCTCTCTGCCTCCTAGTCCCAGGGTCTCACTTTCTGAGGGTGGTGCAGATGCTCCCTTTTATTCCCCTCCCTGGAGCCTCTTAAGTCCCCACTCCTTGGTCCCCCTCCAGGCTTCATGGGTTAGCAGCCCATTTGATTTAATAGGCTTTTGGGTTTCCCATATGCCAGACACTGGGCCAGACACTGCAGGGTCTGCGTTTCAGCAGAAGCAGTGTATGGAATGTATCATACACACATATATGGGTTATGGGTGGTGGGGGGGGGAGGGGGAGGAGAGCGTGGGTCAGCGGCTGTGGCAGGCTCCAGGAGAGCGGGGAGCTGGGTCTATACTAGAATAGTGGTGGCATCAGAAGAACTGAAGAGTGTTTCTCCCAAAGCTGACCAGACACAGTCCTCAGAGCCCCGGTCTGTCTGGGAATCCCCCTTGGAGATTTGTGGTGCGAGGCATGTGAGCAGCTCTGTGGTCCCGCAGGAGGGGCCAGCCGAACTTGTAAACTCAGGGTTTCTGAAACCAAGGGAATTCTAATGACCTTATTTCTTACAATCACTATCATCCTTTTGCAAAACTAGCATTCAGCAGATCATACTCCATAAAATGCTGATGTACAGCATTTGGCCTTTGTGTTGTCAGAAGCCAGGAGGAGAGCTAAGTGATGCCTTGTAGCTAATATTTGCAGGCTTGTGATTTTGTAGAGAAGGGAATGGAGGGGGCCAGGGTGTGTGAACGGTGCTGTAGGGCCTTCTGACCCAGAGCATCATGCTTTCATGGAGATGGTGCTCAAGTGCCATCCTTGTGGGATAGAAATACAGTATCAGAGATGTAGTCACTATCAGGAATGTGGTAACACTGTGTCAGAGATGGAGTAACACTGTATCTGAGATATACCAACATTGTAGCAGTGATGTGGTAATGCTGTATCAGAGACCTAGTAACAGTCTGCTACTAAGGATGATAGCAGTCAGTGCAGCACAGAGAAGATAATAACTTCTCTTCCCCTGAGCTTTTCTCTGTTACTTTCAAGACCAGGAGAAGGTGTTCCTTGTAGAATCTTTTGCTTAGACTTGGTCGAAGATTGCACATCCTCTGCAGTGTGTATCTCCCTGGGGGCAAGACACATGTATCCTGCAACCAAGAGAGAACCTGCAGACTGGCTTCTCTGAGCAGCAGGCCCCACACTTGCTGGTGGCTGTCCCATCGTTTTCCCTTAGAAGAGGCTGTGCCAGCCCATATTCTCAGGGCAGAAGAGGAAAAGGTGCTCTCATGACACCACTGCCAGTGCAGACTTTTAGCATTAAAGGAAGAAAAAGTGTAACCAATTCAATAAGTAAAAAATAGTATCTTTCTATTTTAATTAGCCTTTAAAAATTGCTAATGATGTTGAACTTTGTTGTTATTTTATCCCTTTGTATCTTTTGTGAAAAGCTGTGCTTTTTGACATTTTGTGTCTTGCTCAGCCTTTCACTCTAAAATCAGTTAATATTCACTCCATTCTCTCTCACTTTAATGTCTTATTTCTTACTGTAAATATCAAGTTCATCTAGATTTGACTTTTTGTCTGTGGTATAAGGGGAAGCTCCAACCTTGATTCTTTTCCCCCAGTTTTTCCAGTCACTTGTTTCCGTTGAACATTTAAAAAATGGTAGTGGCCTTCCTCACGTGATGGCCCAAACTGCACGTCTTCAGCCTTATAACCGGACATGAGCTTGGGGTCAAGACTCCCTACTGTAACGCACTTCACTGAGACGCCAGCCTGCTGGCGAGAAGCATCTCTGGTCTCCTCAGCCTGACCCAGAACCTTCCCTCCCCCCTCCTCTGATCTTCGCATATGGATCAGTCGATCCCCAGGGCCCACAGGGTAGACAGTGGGACCAGTTCCTAGAAATGACTAGAAATGTCCTCAAACAGCCTTAGGGGTTATAGCCACACTTTACAGAAGAGATGAGGCTCGCAGGCGGTGGGTCACGGGAGCAGGGACTCGGGGGCAGTGTGGTAGCGGGGCCGGCCAGTGCCTCTGGCCTGGAAGCCCCGGGGCCTGCCGCCCCTTCCCCGCAGCACCTTCTCTTCCCCGGGCCTGGCTCGCCAGCCCTTTGTTGTTCTGACCACTCAGCATTTGGGCTCCTCTGCCATGTGCTTCCTGAGGCATCACTGGAGGGGCTCGGATGAAGCATCTGCATCCCAGGTGAGCCCAGGTGACGCTTCCTGGGGATGCAGAAGGAGTGCAGTGGTCACGGAACTGTCTGCTGTCTCTGCCCTGGTCCCTCCACCCTCCTTGGGCCCAGGTCTCATGGGCCGCTCTCTTCTCTGCCTTCCTGCCAGCTCCCTGAGTGTCTGAGACTCAGGCCTGCTCTGTCCTTTGCTCGGAGGACATGGGGTGGGCCTTGGCCTCTGTGACCTCAGTCCTGGAACTGTGTGGCCGCCCTCTAAAGATTCCATCTTAGCTCCCTGCCCCCCCAGGGAATATCTGGCTTTTCCAGGTGGCCCGACCTGCTGTGGGAGCCTCACCTGGACGCAGCTGCCTCTGTGCAGCACCTTCTCACCTGCTGGGCAGCCTACCTGGGTGGTTCTCATGGCCAGGGCACATCCCAGCAGAGGGCGGTTGCTGCTGTCCAGCGGATGTGCCCAGCTCTCCTTAGTGGCGCTCAGGTTGATCGGAGCCACTCTGGTGGTGCCCTGCATGCACAGACAGGGGCTTGGGGAGGTTGGCCTCTGGCCCTGGAGTGAATGCGGGGGCTTGTTTCTCTACATCGCGGATGCCATTTTTTCCTTACTGTATGGGTGAGGTTTTCTTAGCGTGTAGGCACACCTTTCAAAGACTTGCTCTTTGGGCCGGAGGCCAGGCTGCATCGAATCTTGTCCTTCACAACAAGCCTCGGCCCGAGTTTTGTGAAATGCTGTTTTTATTTTGGTTTCTCAAGTGATTTAGTGTAGTTCCTTCTCACAGCAGCTGGGTTGGCGGGCACTGGGACGGGGTCTCCTTGGGGCACCTGCCAAGTATGTGGTTCAGGCTTCAGTCGCCAGCTCAGTGACCCTCTGTCCTCGGAGGGGGCAGGTGTGGTCTCAGGCCCTGGGGGAGAGGCCAGTGGGGAGGCTGCCATTGTCTCTGGGTCTCTGTGTTTCAGGAGAAGCTGGGAAATCAAACTGACCCAGGACTTCCTGACTTTTTCATCATTACTGCCAGCCAAGTTTTGGAAACCCCCTCAGGCCGCCCTGCAGGCAGGTCCCAGCAGGAGTCCTGCTCCAGAACAGCAGGCTAGATCTGGGGCCAGGGCTTCGGAGGTGCCACGCCCAGGCCTCACCTCGGAGACTGTGGTTCTGCAGGCTCACTCTGGGCCTGCATGGGTGTCATAGCTCCAGTGATGCTGGCGGCCACGGTTGAGACCCCAGCGAGTGTGTGAAGGGTGTGCTGTTCTCAGCCCCTGGGGTTCGGGGTCTTCCGATGGGCCCAGCTGCTGCCTGTCATTGGACTGTGTTTCTGGCCTCCAGGAGCTTGTGGCCAAGTTGGTGAGACAGTCAACACACTGGAAAAGAGTCAGCAGGAAGGCCTGGGGGCTTGTGGCTAGGTGAGCCAGATGGGGTGGGGGACTTGGAGAAGAGAGTGGGTATGAGGCCTGGGTCAGGAGTCAGTGAGGACTGGGTCGGGGGTCAGAGAGGCCTGGGTCAGGGGTCAGTGAGGCCTGGGTCAGGGGTCAGCAAGGTCTGGGTCAGGGAGGCCTGGGTTGGGCATCAGGGCCTTAGGTTGGCATGGGGGCTGTGCCCTTGGCCGCTTCTGCTCCTCTCTAGTGGGATCTGGGTGGAGTTTGGCATCCTGGCCCCACTGCTCTGCTCACGCCCTGGGGTGCTCTGGGCAGAGGCCTCTGAGGCAGGAGGCAGGGCAGCTGCTCCTTCATGCAGAGCTCCCTTTGGTCTCTGGACCCTGGATGAGTCTTACTGGGGAAGCAGGTGGTCCAGAAACTGTGGGCTTCTTGCTGGTGGCGGCTGAGGCCTCTGTGGAAGGGGGACACTGGCCATGCTCTGGAGGGAACCAGGGGACACACTCACGCCCCCGTGGTCCCTGGGGAGGGGTGTGCGGCATTTGGGGAAGCCCCACGTGTGACTCCATGGGGTCTCCCCTGCTGAGGGGTGTTGTGGGGCCCTGTCGTTCCCCCCCAGCTCCCTCCTACCATGGAGTCTGGAGGTCTGGGCATCCAGTGCTGGGGCCGCCACGTGTGAGAGGCCTCCCGGGCCGCTGGGGTGCGGCTGTGGGGGATGGCGGGCGCCCCCTGCTCCGGCTCCTCTGACACGTGGTTTCTTGACCTGCAGGTTCGGAAGGCGTTTCGAGTCGCCCCTCCTCTGGCAGAGTGTGGTCATGATCCTGACCATGCTGCTGATGCTGAAGCTGTGCACCGAGGTCCGCGTGGCCAGCGAGCTTGGTGTGAAGCGCCGGTTCTTTGCAGGTTGGTGATCAGCCGCTTTGGGAACGAAGCCCCCAAATCAGCAAGCAAAACTCGCCTGCTCTCGCGGGCGAAACAGAAGTCGCTCTCGTGCGTCGTTGTCTGAGCCACTTCTCTTTCACCCGCCAGCGCTGTTGCTGTAACTGGTGTGAGTGTTTTCACTATCTTAAGTGACTCTAATCAGACAGTTTATGATGTGAAACAATTCAAGATGACAGTTTCGTCACTGGAATTTGAGCGAGTCATTAACTGATCTTAACGTTTCAATCTTTGCTGTAACCATCCTGACACATGGATCTGAACTGGGACAGTTGGGGCATTTCTGGTGGTCTCTCTCCCGGCTGGATCCGGTCAGAGGAGGACAGCGCCTGTGAGTGAGTTTCCTCTCGACTTCATGCCTGGCTCGTCCGTAAAACACACCCTTTGTTTATGTCCAGCTGCACCTGAGCTGCCTGGGGTTGTTCTCACGTCCCTTGTAAGCCCACAGCCAGAGGGCTGCCTCTGTGGGTCCGGGCGGATCGTCACTCAGGGGGCGTGTGGGGCCACATGCACACCCCATGGATTTTTGGTGGCTCAGAAAATAGAAAAGACTTCTTCCTGGTTTTGCCTTTTCCTCTGAAAAAGCTCCTTCCGAGCTGGGCTCTGTGTGAACATGCGCCTGGCGGGCCTCTCGCGTGCAGGAGCGGATGTCTGTCTGCTGGTTTCCCTCCAGTGACAGATCTGGGCAGCTCTCTCACTTCCCGCCGACTGTGTGTCCAGTCTCAGCGGTGGCCCAGAGCGGCGTTTCTCCAGGGGCTGTCTAGTTTCGGGATTCCTGCGGCCATGCGGTCCTGCCCTGTGCGTTTTCCTGATACTCTTCTCCCCCCTCGAGTGGTCCCGGCACCTCGCGTGGCATCTGTCTTTGCAGTGAGGTCACGTGTGCTGACTTCAGTCTTGTAGCCAGTAGGTCGGCCTCCAGCCCTGGGGAGCAGCCTGGGCCAGATAGTGCCCGTCACGCCGCAGAGATGAGCCATGTGTTTCTGTGCTTTCTCCCCCGTATTCCCTCCTCCCAGCTCTGTTCTCGGCCCTCCCTGCTGGGGCCTGGGACTCACTTCTGGTCCTGCCTGGAAAGCAGGCTTTTCTCGCCTGCTGCCATTGGAGGTGAGGAGCCTGGCTCTTCACTTTCTCTTAGAAAACAAGCCTTCTGCCCTTCGCTCTGTGACCTGTGCCCCTCTGACCCTCACAGGGTCTTGTAGCCGACCGCAGAAGGGGCAGTGGAGGGTTATCAGCGCCCTCGTCCTCACCCGGGAGGGAGGAAAGGCCAGGAGGGGATGCTCGGTGCCCCGGGTTGCTCAGTCTCCTGTACTCGGGCTCTGGAACCTGAGACCGGGTTTCGTGACCTGGTTTGAAGCAGTGTGGGCTCTGGTGATGTAGGATGCAGATTCAGCCGGCGTGTGAGCCTCCAGCCCACGGAGCATACTGAGAGTTTGCCTTTTACGTGACCTCATGAATACAGAACACCTTCAGCAGCGCGTCTACGTGCTCCCTGCTGCGGTCTGCCACACGCTGAGGTCGGGGGCTCTGGGGGACTGTGGAGCTGGGAGCTGTGCCTCCTCTTGAGGCCTCTCGCCGGGAAAGCTCTTGATAAGAAAGGGAGCGGGGTGCTGGAGGTCTCCTGTTCTCTCTCGACTTCTAGAGTTCTGTGTAAATTCTCCCGAAAGGAGCATTTCTCTTTGGGTTAACTGGGGGTGAGTTAAAACGGCGAATCCTGGTTTCCAGGGATGGGGCTGGACTGTGAACTTTAACAGGCAACCCTCTCTGGTGAGCAGATAACGGCCCCACACAGGTCCACGCCCGGGAACTTTGATGTCGTCTCGCCTGGCACAGGGCTGTGCAGGGGTGCTTCCAGCTGGGCCGAGAGTGGGGAGCCTGGGTGGCCTGAGGGCATCACGGGCCCTTCGAGTGGAGGAGGAGGAGAAGCGGTCAGAGGTGGACGTGCTGGCTCTGAAGGAGGTGCAGGGCCATGAGCCAGAGGCTCGTGGGCTCGGGCCCCTGGAGCTGGGATGGCCTCATCTTGCAGCGGTAAGGACACGGGACCACGGTTCTCCAGCCACGAGGACCTGCATTCTGCCAACACGTTGAAAGAGCGGGAACCGAGTTCTTGCCTGGACCCTCCAGAAGGACCGTGTCCTGAGTTTAGCCTGTGACACTGTGTGAGGCTCCTGGCCTCCCAGGCTGGGAGATGATGAGCCCATGCTGTGGGAACTCGTTTGGGCAGTGAACACGGCCTCTTCCCTGAGGTTGTGGAAGCTCTGCGGGCTGTGCCGTCAGGGCTGGAGTTTGCAGGCATCCATGTGAGCAGAGGCTGAGCGGCCTTGGCTGCTCCCGGGTGGTGCTGGGCCTGCAGGTGGAGCCGCCCGGCCGCATACCCCTCTCAGTCGGCTCTCGGGGAGGATGCGGGCCAAGCCTCATGACCTGGGCTGCCTGCTGGGCCCCAGACAGAGTCCACTTTTAAACTCCGCTTGTGGGGCACCCTGAACGTGCGTGAGGTTCTTGAGAGTCTTGTTGTCAGCACTTTAGATGCTTGAATCCAGGTCAGATTCACGTGTTTCCGTGTCTGCTGCGTGTGGGACGCGCAGGTCCAGCGTACGCCTACGGGAGGCTTTTAGTGCAGCAGGTGGGTTTGTTTCCGCTCACCTGCCAGAAGTGTGGGGGCATGAAAAACGCAGCCGCTCAGGCCGAAAGACTCTGGAGTGGAGTCACAGGGCCCGCAGGCTCAGCCTCACACTGAAGTGAGGAACGAAGAAACCTCTGAATAGCTGTGTTTGTGTGTGCCTGTAGGATGGACAGCCTGAAAAAGAAAAGCTTAAATGTTTTCCAACTAACTTTTTTGGCGGTTTTTAATTTTGAATTAAATTCAACTTGAAAGTTAAGATTAAAGAAACATGAATAGTATTAAGGAGAAAAAATAGGTTACTTAAAAAATTAAATATGTAATTTGTTACAAACAACAATTCGTGCTCCTTGTAGACATTTGGGAAGACAGAGGAAGACAAGGAAAATAAAATGCTTTCCGTCCCACCACCCGGAGGTGACCACTTTGAACCTTTGGGCACACTTTCCCAGTTTTTCTTTGTTTCTTTTACAGTCAGACTGTCACAAAATGGGGATCCTTTTCAAAATTAGGATCAAGCTTTTTACGTCTGTTCCACTGGCAGTTTTCTCCCTGCCCCTGCTCTAGCGGGTAGGGCTGGGTGTGGGGTCCACCCCTCCTCGAGGTGTCCTGGGGACCCAGCCTCCCAGGGTGGCCTGGGCCCAGGTGGGGTCGCATCCCCAGGATCGACGATGCCTCTCCCCACCGCGGCTGTGTGTTCCAGGGACAAGCTGGCTGAAGCAGCTAATGTGTGCCCACCGTGTAGCTGTGCATTCGGAGTGAGCCTGGTCTGTCTTGTGTGTGCTGTGCTTTTCCTTTTTACCTTTAACCTTTTGTGGAGAATTTCAAACATACACAAGAGCAGGGAGAGCAGTGTATGACCGCGTCCACCGCCAGCCTGGACCCTGTTTACATCCTCTTCCTGTGGTTTTGAAGCAAATCCCAGACATATTGGTTTTTTTTTTCTCCCCAAATCCCCCCAGTACATAGCTGTATATTTTAGTTGTGAGTCCTTCTAGTTGTGGCATGTGGGACGCCGCCTCAGCATGGCCTGACGAGTGGTGCCCTGTCCCCGCCCAGGATCCAAACTGGCAAAACCCTGGGCCACCAAAGCCGAGCGCGAGAACTTAACCCCTCGGCCATGGGGCCGGCTCCCCCAGACACATCCTATTTGTAGATAGTTTATAATGCATCTCCACAAGATAAGGACTTAAAAAAAAATAACCCCAATACTATTGTCACCCATAAAAATTAATAATCCCTTATCAAATATGAATTTGTGTGTGAATTTCCAGCTGTCTCACCCATCATCCATTTCTGGATCTGTCAACTGGCTTGTTTCCTCGAGTCGGGCTGCACACTGTGGTTGTTTCCCAGCTTTTTGTTGTTGCTCTTGATTTGTCCTTTAATCTGCAGCTTCCCCCAACTCCCTTTCCTCCTTGAAACGCATCTGTTGTTGAAACGAGGTCTCGTTTGCTCTGCTCGTGTGGTCGGTGGATGGTGGGCCGGCAGCAGTGTCCTGCAGCCTGTTAGAAATGCAGAATCTCGACCTCATCCGGACTGTGGAACCAGATCTGCATTTTGACAGACTCCTGAGGCTCCCTGCAGGCTGCATTTTGCAGATCCCTGTGGGGACCCTGCCTGGCTGCTGCTGATGCCCCGTGGTAGGCGACCCCGCCTCTGTCTCTGGTTTGCCTGTGAAAGAACGTTTTTTCAAAGAAAACCAGACCACAGGCCTGGCCAGAGCAGGAGTGGTCCTCTTGCTTTCGCAGGACCATCGTGTTCTCCCGGAGGCGCGTGTTTGACTGGTGGCTTCTTGGGTGTCAGTGGTGCTGGGCGCTGAGTGCGTGGCTGTGCGTCACGGGGGCTGCGGGTGTTGGTGTCAGACTTTGCTCGCCTGTCAGCTGGGGTGCTTCTCTGAAGAGCGAGCTCCTTGCAGATGTGACTTAGTCATCCAGCATACGATTTGTAAAGGGAGGGTAGGTCGACGCCTGCCTCTTTCTCTTTGTTCTCCGGTCTTCAGATTGTTCCCTGGTGTCTTGTGGTGGTGACCACGTTTGTGTTCACGTTGCTATGAGTGATGGATTTAAACATATTTGACGCCTTGCTCTTGATGGCTGCTGTTCTTGTGGCCCTCTCTGGTCAGTGGGAGCCTCTTCAGTCGGCCTGCTCCACGGAGCCCTATGGCTCCTGCCCCAGACCTGGAGTCAGCCATTGCTCCGGCAGCCGTCTGGATGTGGCGTCTGGAGATCACAGTCTGGGCGCTGGGCACTGGCTGGATCGAGATCGTCTTTTAGCTTCTTCAGGGGACGCAGCTCGGAGGTCGTCAGTAGATGCGCCGCTGCAGGCGTGCACGCTGGTTCTTCCAGGCTGACCCCTACGAGCCCTGGATTGCGGCTCTGATCTTCCACTCGCTGCTCTGGGATCTCAGAACAATGGGACCTTGCAGAGTCATCGCACACCTGCCTTCCCTGTTGCTCACAGCAGTTCCATAACGAGGCCGAGGCTGAGAGCCAGGCTCCCGAGAAGGTCTCTTGTCAGGGGGTCTTGAGGATCACGGGTCTGACCGTCAGATGACCATTTCATAGTCGTTAGGAATGGTGCCTCTGTGGGTGTGCCACCAGCAGATACATAGCTCGGTTCACTGTTCCATCTTATTTGAGAAGCAAAATTGTCTGTGGCTCAAAGTCAGGTGGTTGAATTCATTTGACATTTGCCTCAAATCTCAACACACAGAGTTCCAGAACAGAATTGGCTGGGGAGTTGGGTGGAGGATGGGGAGTGACTGCCAGTGGGTACAGAGTTTCTTTATAGGGTGATGAAATTGTTCTAAAATTAGATAGTGATGGTGGTTGCACAACTCTGTGAATATACTGAAAGTTATTGAATTGTATACTTTAAAAGAGTGAATTTTTTATGGCATGTAATTATATCTCAGTAAAGCTGTAAAAAAAATGTTGGGGGGAGCTGGCTTAGTGGCATAGTGGTCAAGTTCACATGCTGTGCTTTGGTGGCCCAGGGATTGGGAGTTTGGATCCTGGGTGCAGACCTGCACACTGCTCATCAAGCCATGCTGTGGCAGTGTCCCACATACAAAACAGGGGAAGATTGCCACAGGTGTTAGTTCAGCAACAATCTTCCTCACCAAAAAAAAAAAAAAAATTGAGGAGGGTCACATACTATTCTGAGAATGAAGGCTGGGGACCTCCCCACAAAGGTAAAATGTTGATCCACAAACCATTCTGTGTTTTTCGGGGGATTATCAGTCCTTAGACATCAGGTCACAGGAATCCTGTATTGTCCTGCCCACTGCCCCTACACTGATGCAGGCTTGGCTACCCGTATCGTCTGGACTCTTCTGAGTTTTGCCTGGATCACTGCAATCTTACCTCCTCCTGGTCCCCATCACCCTGCATCCTGCCTGCCTGCCGCCATCGACCCCTCCCCACCCATGTGCGCTCTTCCACCCCGCAGTCTCTCTAGCGCACACGTTCTTCCTGTGCCCACCGCAGTGGGTTTCACATTGTGACAAGGGCCTAAAGCCCCTGGGAAGCAGCTGATGGTCTGGCCTCATGTCATCCAAGCAGCCTTCCGCCCTGCTGGCCCCGTCCTGGCCTCTGGCCGTCCAGAACAACCAATGCTCGGCTGTCTCAGCTCACGCTGGGACTTCTGCCTCATCGTCTTTCATTCCAGTCTCTGGCTGCTCAACAAGTTAGTCCCAAACTTGGTGACTCGAAAGGACATTTTTGCTCACGAATCTGCAGTTCAGCAGAGCTTGGTAGGGACAGCCCTGTCAGCCAGCTGCTTGGTCTGTCTCTCTCACTCTCAGTCCTCGCTCAGCCCTCGCTCAAGTGTCTGGCTCTCGGCTGGACCCTCCACACGTGGCCTCCCCATGTGGCCTGTGCTTCCTCACAACGTGGCAGCTGGAGAGAACCGTGGAAGCTGTATCTTTTTAAAGATCCAGTCTTGGACATCACACAGGGTTGCCTCTGTGGACTGGAGTGGTCATAGGCCCGCTCGCAATCAAGGGGAGAACGTAGAACCACCTCCTGATCACGTGGTGAGAGTCTGCGGACCGTGTGGGACTGGAAACGTTGCAGGGGCCATTTTTGATCCTCTGTGCCTGGCTGCAGTTTGTGTTGAGTACAGATTTATGGAATGTGATTGTTGAAAATATTTCTCATGTCTCTTAGCTTCAGGACTCACTCTTCTCCAGTCCGTCCTACACAAGGATGTTTTCTAAACTAGATCTGATCATGTTGCTTTCCAGCCGGGAAGCCTTAGGCAGCTCGACGTTGTGCATGGGCAAGAGTCTGATGTGCTCTGTCACTCTTCCCACCCTGACGTGCTCCCCTCCCCACCTGCTGCTTGCTGCTGCACCATCGCTTATGTCCCAGTAACCCTGCAACCACTCACGCTCACCCTCCTGTGCCTCTATCCTGGCCTGCTCTGCCCCTGCAAAGCTCTGTCCGTCAGCTGTGCATCATCAAGCCTGGAGATGAGAAGGGAAACAGCATCTGATCTGCACAAGCAGCTAAACTGAGCCCTGTCTCCCGAATCCTTGCTCCTCCCCGTCCCACTTCCCCCTCCCTCCTTCCCTCCCTCCCTGTTTTGGGACCTTGATCTTTAGAGGAGGTGCCAGTGAATGGTGAAATTAGTCTAAATCTAAGAAATAGGAGCAAAAAGCTGAGAAAACCTGGCCAACTCTGGGTCATCAGAACCCAGAAGATCCAGGAGGTGGGTGGTGCTAGGGAGGAGGCTGGGGTGAGGAGAGGAGGTTGCGTGGTGCCATGTTATTGGTTTGTAAAACCCTTGGGACTCCTTTCTGAGCATCTGTGAGCATCTGTTGTCCCCAGGTCCAGGCAACAAGGTCTGGTATTTGCTTTTAGCTGTTTACCTGCATCATTTCCATTTTTAGGTAGAGTCTGCATTGCCTGGGGCGTACGACCCACAACCTTTGACCCCACCTCTGCTTTCTGGTCCCAGTGACTCACTCCAGCCTCACTGTTCTGTTTAGCCACCTTCCATCCTGGGCCCCACCTGAGGTGCTCTGGCTGTGTCCTTCAGGGCCTCGACTGCTGTCCCGGGTGGACAGAGTTGGGGGGTCTCAGTGGGGGTGGGCTGCTGGCGGCAGGAGCAAGGTGCCTCAGAATTGAGTTGTCACCTGCTGAGTCTGTGCTCCTGGCTGGCCACGGGAGGGGGCCGCTGCCCAGCATGCTCCCTGACTCGGTGTCATGCGGCGTTGCCACTGGGCCACGTGCTGGTCCAGCTCCCGAGTTGAACCCGCTCCCCTTTTACAGCGGGCACTTTGTCCAGTGCACTCAGAAAGCAGCTCGATCAGGCAGCCTTCTGGGGAGTTCTGACCCTGGAACAGCTCCACGGCAGCCAAGCTTGTGTGCAGATGAGTTTCTGGGGAAGAAGTAGCGTGTCTGACTTTCTCTCAGCGTAGCAGATGCGTGGTGGGCTTTGTGCCACCTCGGATCTTAGAATTTGAATGAAACAGGGTAACTTTTCATTTTTGGCCCCACATTTCCTCCCCCTGCCTCAAGCACTTATTTTAGAAGAGAGTTGGGTTTGGAGAAAAATAGTTCAGAAGTGGATTTCTTAATGCACAGAAAACAAAATCTTGTGGTCTTTGTGTTCCGATGGTTTTTTAAAAGAAAAGCACAAAGGGCTGGGAGACACAGCTGCTTACCAGAGTTAAAACCCGTCTGTTTTTGTCTTTTCTCTCCTTCCTCTCTGTTTCTCTCTCAAATGTAGCTGCAGATAATAAGGATGAAGAGATCAGAGCCCCCCCCAGGCGGTCGTATCTGGGTACGTACACGCTGCACGAGGCGCCCCAGAACGCTCGTCCCGCTGCCTTCTCTGCAGCTTTGTTCCCACTGACATCACTTCTGCCTGTGCCTCCTCGCGACCGTGCATGAGTCGTTTCACCAGCGTGGCCTCCTCTCCAGCAAACTAACCAGTCCTCAGCCTGCTGTTTCCAAGCATGAAGTAGTTCCTAGAAGGCTGCCCGTTCTCCATGCGTGTGCACGTGTGTGTGTGTGCACGTGTGTGTGTGTGTGTGTGTGAGAGAGAGAGAGAGAGAGGGGCGGGAAGAAAGAAATTATCACTGTGTAAGTTTTGTGATTCTTTTGTTGAATTTATCCCAAAGTATTTTGTTCTTTTTGATGCTATGGTAAATGGGATTGTCATCTTAATTTCATTTTGGATTGTTCGTTGCTACTTTGTAGAAATAAAACTGGTTTTCACATATTGATCTTGTATCCTGCAGCCTTGCTGACTCGTTCATTAGTTCTGATAGCTCTTTAGTGGGTGCTTGAGGGTTTCCTGTGTGCAAGATGACGTCGTCTGCAAATAAAGAGAGTTTACTTCTTCCTTTCCAGTCAGATGCCTTTATTTCTCTTTCTTGGCTAGAAGTGGAGAGAGGACATGCTTGTCCCATTCCTGATCTCATTGAGAATGTGTTTCGTCTTCACCCTTAGTGTCATGTCAGCATGGGCTTTACATGGTGCCCTTTATTAGACAGTCAGTGTCCTTCTCTTCTGACTTTGTTGAGTGTTTTTTTCTTTTTGGTGAGGAATCACTTCCTCTTTTTGCTTGAGGAAGATTGGCCCTGAGCTAACATCTGTGCCTGTCTTTCCTCTATTTTGTATGTGAGACTCCTCCACGTCATGGCTGGTGAGTGGAGTAGGTCTGCACCTGGGGTCGGAACCCATGAACCCAGGCTGCTGAAGTGGAGCTGCGGGGCCAGACCCTGTTGAGGGTTTTTATTGTGGAAGGATGTTGACGTCTGTCAAATGCTTCTCTGTATCTGTTGAGACGATTGTGTGGTTTTTGTCCTTTATTATCACAGTTTGTTACGTTGATTGATTTTGTATGTTGAACCAGCCTTGCATTCTTGGGATAAATCCTATTTGATCACGATGTGAAATACTTTTGAGAAGTTGCTGAGTTCTGTTGGCTAGTGTTATGCTGAGGACTTTTGTGTCCATGTTCATAAGAGATAGTGGTCTTCTTTTTTTCTTGTGATGACTTTGGTCTTAGTATCAGCATAGTACTGACCTTAAAATAAGTTGAGAATGGCATGTGTTCCCTCCTCCTCTGTTTTATTGAAGAGTTTGTAAAGGATTGGTATAAATTCTTTATTAATTAAAAAAACTTACTTGATATATATTTGACATACAACATTGTGTAAATTTAAGATGTACAACATGTTAATTTGGTACATTTGTGTATATTGTAATGTGATGGCCATTGTAGCCATAATGAGCACCTCTGTCATATCACGTAATTATCATTTCTTTTTCTTTCTTTATTTGCTGGGGAAGATTGGCCCTGAGCTATCATCTGTGCCAGGCTTCCTCTATTTTGTATGTGGGACACTGCCTCAGTGTGGCTTGATGAGTGGTGTGTAAGTCTGAGCCTGGGATCTGAACCTGTGAACCCTGCGCTGCTGAAGTGGAGCACGTGAACTTAATCACTGCACCACCAGGCCAGCCCTGAGGATCATTTCTTTTTAGTGGTTGGAGTAATTAGTTTTAGTCTCTTAGCGAGTTGGGTGATTGTGATGCAATGTTGTTGTCTGTACGCACTGTCCTGTGCATTAGATCTCGAGGACTTGTTACTACTGGTTGCAGGTCTGTCAGCTCTTTAAACGCTCAGTGGTCTCCGTTGAGGCTACCCGGGCCTGGGCTCTTCCTTGTGGGAAGTTTTAAAATTGCTAGTTCAGTCTCTTCTGTGAGTCTGTTCAGGTTTTCTATTTCTTCCTGAATTGGTTTTCTTAGTTTCTTTCCTGGAATTTGTCTGTTTAATCTGAGTTATCTAATTTGTTGGTATACGCTTGTTCTTAGGGCTCCCTTGTAACCCTTTTCATTTCTGTGAGGTTGGTGGTAATATTCCCTCTTTCATTCTTGATTTTAGTAATTTGAGTCTCTCTCTCCTTTATCTTTTGGTCATTCTAGCTAAACGTTTGTCAATTTTACTGATGTTTTCCAAAGAACCAACTTTTGGTTTCATTGATCTTTTTTCTGTTCTCTAGTGTAGTATTTATTATTTCTTTCCTTCTGCTTATTTTGGGTTTAGTTTGCTCTTCTTCTGGTTTCTTGAGATGGGAGTTTAGGTTACTGATTTGAGATTTTTTCCTCTCTTCTTTTTTAATGTGGCATTTACAGCCATAATTGCCTTCTAAGGACTGCTTTAGCTGCGTCCTCTAAGTTTTGGTATGTGTGTTTTTGTTTCCATCGCTCTTAAAATATTTTCTAATTTCCTTCAAGATTTCTTCTTTGACTCATTACTTATTTACGAGTGTGTTGCTTAATTTCCACATATTTGTGAATTCTCCAGATTTCCTTCTGTTACTGATATCTAATTTAATTCCATTGTAGTTTTGAGAACATTATTTCTGTTATTCCCGTCATTTTAAATTGTGTCTTGTGTGATGGCCCAGCAGGTGGTCTCTCCTGGAGGGTGCTCTGCTGCTGTTGAGCAGAGGCCAAGGCAGGCCCCTTAGGTTTCGTAGTGTTCACGTCTTTTCTTTCCTTATTCCTCTGTCTAGTTGTTATATCCATCACTAAAAGTATATTTTGAAATCTCCAACTACTTTTGAATTATTTGTTTCTCTTTTCACATCTGTCAGTCTTTGCTTTCTGTGTTTTGGGCACTATTGTTAGGTACGTGTGTCTTTATAGTTTTATCTTCCTGATAGATTGAGCCTTATCATTATAAAATTTCCCTGTATTTCTAGTAACATGTCTTTGTTTTAAAGTCTGTTTTTTCTGCCGTTAGTATAGCTACTGCAGATCCATTGTGGTTGCTGTTTCTATGGTATATCTTTTTCTATTGTTTTACTTTTACCTTGTCATTTTTTTTTTAGAAAGATTAGCCCTGAGCTAACCTAACATCCACCACCAATCCTCGTCTTTTTTCTGAGGAAGCCTGGCCCTGAGCTAACATCATGCCCATCTTCCTCTTCTTTATATGTGGACGCCTGCCACAGCATGGCTTGCCAAGCGGTGCCATGTCTGCAGCCAGGATCCGAACCGCCAAACCCCAGGCCCCCAAAGTGGAGTGTGCAAACTTAACCACTGCACCACCAGGCTGGCCGCTACCTTATTTGTATTTTTGAATCTAAAGTGTGTCTCCAGTAGACAGCATATAGTGATTCTTTAAAAAAAAATCCAGGGCTGGCCTAGTAGTGTAGCAGTTAAATTTGCACATTCCACTTGGGTGGCCCAGGGTTCACCAGTTTGGATCCTGGGTGCAGACGTGGCACCACTTGTCAAGACATGCTGTGGCAGGCGTCCCACATATAAAGTAGAGGACGATGGGCACGGATGTTAGCTCAGGGCCAGTCTTCCTCAAAAAAGAAAAAAGAATTCATTCTGGCAATTCCTCCCTTTGATTGGATTTTTAGCTCGCTCACATTTAATGAAATGAGGGTGTTCAGTTTATGTTGGTCGTCTGGCGTCCTGTTTTCTGTACGTCGTCTTGTCTTCTTTCCCAGCTGTTCCTCCTTTGCTGCTTTCTTTTGTATTAAGCGAATCTTTGCTAGTATAATATTTTGATTCCTTTAATGATCTTTTTAACTATATGTATTTTATTATCTTCTTAGTAATTGCTCTAAGGCTTATAGTATGTATCTTGTCAGAATCGACTTCAGATTTATACTAACTTAATTTTTTAATCAGTTGGGAGAGGAAAGGAGAAGAAATATGCACTTATTTTGTCTTTTGCAATTACCTGCATAACTACCTCTACCTACACTCTCTGTGTTTCTCGTGTGGATTAGAATTGCTGCCTGATGTCCCCAGCGTTCAGCATGAAGAACTTACTGTCAGTATTTCTCATAAGATGGGACTGCTAAGAATGAATTCTCCCAGTTCTTGTTTATCTGGGAATGTCTTTATTTTGCCCTTGTTTTAAAAAAGTTTTGCTGGATGCAGGAATCTTGGTTGACAGTTGATTTTCTTTTCAGCATTTCAAATATGTTAGTAATTTTTCTCTCGCAACTTCAAGATTCTGTCTTTTTCTTTGGCATTTAACATTTAGACTATGATGTGTGAGGGTGTGGTCTCTATGTGTTTATCCTTTTTGGAGTTGGTTGAGCCTCTTGGTGTGTAGATTAATATTTTCATTGAATTTGGGCAGTTTTCAGCCATTATTTCTTTGACTACTTTTCCTCTCTCTCCTCTCCTTCAGTGTACCACCGTGCAGATGTTGGTGACTCAATATTGTCCACATTTCTCTGAGGCTCTGTTCATTTTTCTTAATTCTATTTTCTTGTTGTTCCTCAGATTGCATAGTCTTTATTGATCTGTCTGCAAGTTCACTGATTCTTCTGCTCGCTCCAATCTATTGTTGGACCTTGTAGTGAATTTTTATTTCAGTAACTGTACTTTGCAATTCCAGAATTTTCATCCAGTTCTTTTTTTTTTAATAAGTTCTGTCTTTTTCTTGGTGTTTTCTATTTGATGAGATATTGTCATTATATCTTCCTTTAATTCTTTATGTATCATTTCCTTTAGTTTTTTGAGCGTATTTATAATAGCTCTTTGAAGTCTTTTCTGCTAAGTCCAATGGCTGTGCCCCTTCAAAAGCAATTTGTTTCTTTATTTTTTTCTTCTGTGTGTGGGCCACTTTCCTGTTTCTTTGCATCTTCCCGAATATTTTGTTGAAAACAGGATCTTTTTAGTGAACATATTGTAGCAACCCTGCATACTGATCCCCACCCTGGTGGGAGGGCCTGTCTGCTTGCTTGTGTGTGGTGACTTGGCTGGACCAGCACCGTCTCCGGGCTGCCCTCCCCGGTAGGG